CCTTCGAGTTATTTCATAGTATTTTTGGAGAATTCTTCGAGTTAACTTTTAGTGTCCTTGGATAATCCTTGGAGTATCCCTGTAGTGTTCTTGGAGCATCTTCGGAGTTACCCTGTACTGTCTTTGGAGAGTCCCTGGAGTTATCTTGTAGTGCCCTTGGATAATCCTTGGAGTTTCCCTGTAGTGTCCTTGGAGGATTCTTGGATCATCCTTCGAGGGTCCTTGGAGCATCCTTGGAGTTTCCCTGGAGTGTCCTTGAAGCGTCCTTGGAGTTTTTTTTCGGGGGATCTTTGAAGTCATCCTTGGAGCGTCCTTGGAGTGTCCTTCGAGGATCCGTGGAGTGTCGTTAGAGTGGTCTCGGAGGATCCTTGGAGAATCCTTGGAGGTCCCGTCGTATCTTGGGGCCAATTTTGCTGCGAAAGCTTCGGCTGCTTTCGATAAATGGTGTTCCTTGGCCCACACGACGTCACTCATCGCTGGCTTCCATTGCCTCCTCCTAAAGTTATAATGCCTAACCTGGTCCTGGGAGGTTTTCTCCAGATTTCGCCTTACAATCTCGAAGATGTCCCTGAGTTTGTTGGCCTTCTCCTCCGGGGTCTCAGTCGGTCGTCCGGTCCCTAAGGTCTCTCTGTCGTATAGGGCGGTCGGAAATCTTGGTTCTCTGTCTTGGGTAATGAACGACGGTGTGTAACACGTAGATTCCGAAACGCTCGTGTTTACTGCCAGCATGACTTCAGGCCATTTTTCGTCCCAGTTTTTTTGGTCCTGCCCTGCGAACTGCGCTATCATTGTCTTCACGGTCCTATTTGCCCGCTCCGTCGGGTTCTCTTGCGGGGTGTACGGAGCTGTGAGCTGTTGCTCGGTATCCATCTCGGCCAGGAAACTCTTAAAGATTCTTCTTCGCTGTGCATACCTGGCCGTGGTATCGGGCTGCCATATGTGCTATTGTCCTTCAGCTTTCTTCTTGTCCAGCTGCCGGTGAGTCGTGGCTTTCCTTCAGCACTGTTTCCCGTAGAGCTTTCGGGATGCACATCTTCCACGCCGCGACATCCACGCTGCTCGCCCTATGTGGTATACCTCTGTATAGGGTGTCACCCTCCATCATGAAGTCCGGGTAATTTTGCGGCTGGATCCTTATCTTTTCCCGCATTTCCCGAATCCAGCTGCATGCTGCAGAAGCATCCGCCGCCGATGTCTTCTTGATACCTCGAAGCGTCTCTGGTAGTGGCTGCCTTGACAAAGCGTCTGCCACCACGTTAAGCTGTCCTTTCCCGTACGCTATCACGAAGTCGTACTGCTGCAACCCCAGGGCCCATCTCGCGATCCTTCCTGAAGGGCTTTCTACCATACCATATGGTATGTTACTACTTTAAAGTGATAACCTTCCAGATGTGGCCTGAGCTTTCGGATCGCCCAGACGATTGCCAAGCACTTCTTCTCGGACGTTGAGTAGATCTTCTCAGCGCCGTTAAGCGTTCGGCTTGAGTAGGAGATTACCTTTTCGCCTTTTGCCCCGATGCCGTAGTCGCTCGCGTCCGTTTGCAGGATGAATGGTTTGTCGAAATCCGGGCACGCCAGTACAGGGTCTGGTACGAGTCTTGCCTTTAACTCTCCGAATGCCGTCTGATGTTCCTGTGTCCACACCCACTTGTTGCCCTTGAGTAGCAAATTGTTGGGTGGATTGACTATTTTTAGGAAGTCAGGTAAAAATCGGCGGTACCCTGATGCTACGCCCAGGTACTGTCGGAGTTCTCTTACTGTGGTTGGTGGTTCTTGTTCGGCGATGGCTGCTACCTTTTCCGCATCCGTGCCTATTCCTTCGCTAGTCACTCGATGGCCAAGATATAATAGTTCTTTCTTGAAAAATTGTCATTTTCCGGGCTTAGCCTCAGATTTGCTTCCTTTAGCCGCCGGAACACTTCTTTCAGATTCGCTTTATGTTCTAGCGTGCGTCCGATCACTATGATGTCATCCTGGTAGGCAAATGCGTGCGGTGACATTTCGGGACCGATCACACGGTCCAGCACCCGTTGAAAAGTCGCAGACGCCGAATGAAGTTCAAATGGCTTTACTTTCTACTGGAATAAGCCTTTTCCCGGCACTGTAAAAGCCGTGTATTGCCTGCTGCTTTTTTTAAGTGGGATTTGCCAGTATCCATCCTTCACGTGCAAGCTGCTGATGTACCGTGCTTCCCTCAGTTGGTCGAGAATATAATTTATTCGGGGCTGTTACAATGGTGAATCTTTAGCCAGGGGGAGGGGTGCTTGGGACTAACCAGACTCATACTGGTAAAGGCAGAAGAATATACAATTCCGCAATTCTCGGGTGTCGCGTATCTAGAACAACGGCCACGATCGACCTACTGGTAACCATACTCCAGTAGCTGGCAAAGTCCAACAGCCGACCGTTGACTCCCAAGATAGTAGATATCGAGGAATAGTAATCCTAGCTGGGAACACCTAGGTGATCCGATCCATACCGCCAGCCAAGTAAAAGCTCTAGTCTGGTATAAAAGACCTTAGACAATTAGAGAAGAGGAGAGAACCCAATTGACGGAAGCCGGCACCTTCGAGGGAAGGCGACTTTTCCTGGGGCAGTCGTCCACGGAGTCTTCTGCCACCAGGACCAGCCACCATATCCAGTCGACATCCGAAATACTGCATTTTTGTGGACGCAGTATCCGTGATCCCCACGCTCCTGAAATTTGTTCAGCTATAGGAGCCATCCGTTCAGAGCGTAACGACCAATAGCATACGTCGGAGAAAGTAGTGATGCAATATAAATGTGTTAATCGAGCCAAATAAAGCTAAAGTGAACTCATGCATAACCAAAGACCAATATCCTCAAATAATACAATTGGATGATAAGTGAAAAAGAAAAAAAAAATATTGGAAGCATTTAAACATGCATTGAAATATATTTAAACCAACCGAATCAATAGACAAAGTGCGAATCATGATGAACAATTAGAGAGGACGAATCTCTCCACCAGCCGTTAAAGAAGTCGCATGCCTCTGGCATAATATATATATATGTTTTGTGTTTAAATGAATTGGTATACTTAAAAACAGCCGTGTTTTGGTGCACGTATATTTATATATATATCCAATATTATATTTTCCCAAAGCCCAGGATTCGGAGCGTGGAGATCTCATCGCCCAGGATTTAAAGAGGGGGTAGTTTGTCGGAACACGGTTCCTTTCTCATAAACATAGATATATAAATATTCGTGCAGTATCCTACAAAAACACTTGGCTACTGTAAACTTTTCAGCGGCGAGTATCAGCCTTGTAGCTGTGTGTACAACTGCAAGAGCCCTCTGAGCGACGTTTGTAGTCGTGAATTGTCACGATTTGTGTGCACCTTCACAGGTGGTAAATTCGATACTCTTCGCCAATAAAATAGCTGTCAATTAATTAATTTCCATATGAACTAGCCAACATTATGTTACTCATCCACGACGCACGCTGATATATATATTTTTTCTTAAATTTATAATGTAAAAGAATTTCAAAAACATGAAGTGCCACAGCTTTATTAAGGGGGGTGTGCTGACGCGAGAAATGGTGCCTGAACATCGGACACCTCTCACTCGGCCCAAGTTCCTGTCTGGACTCGGGCACCAATATGCCCACGTAACAGGGCATTGGGTAGGCATCCTTTGTAAACATGGCGTTGATTTGCCTGAAGTCGACGCACAGTCGCCCGTCTTCTTTTTAACCATCACGATGGGAGAGCTGTATGAGCTTTTTGAGTGCTCTATGTACCCCATTTGCATTTATCTCCCATTGAACTTTCGGATTCTTGTGGTAGTACCGCTGCTTGATTGGTTTGTCGTCCTTCAGCGTGATCTGATGCTCTGCCATGTTTGATGTTCCCGTTATGGTGTTGAAGCTCCTTAGCTCTGCACCTAGGAATTTCGACGTGTCGTTATCGTCGCTTGTCTGTTGCACGACGGCCACCGATAGCTTCTGCTTGAACCATCCATTGTGTCGATTCTTGGCTGGTATTATTATTTCGTGTCCAGCACACTTTATCTCGGTTCCGACTTGTGTTACAAAGTTCCATCCCAACACCAATGAATCCACTACCCCTGGTAGTATCAGCAGGCTCATGGTCAGTAGCTTGTTCCCGAATGCGGTTTCCACCTCCACCTGTGCATCGATTCCGCTGGAGTCATTTTGTGGTATCCTTGGAGTCATCTGTAGTATCCTTGGAGAATCCTTGGAGTTATCCTTAGAGAATGCTTGACGTTATACTTGGAGTCATTTTGTGTCATCCTTCGAGTTATTTCATAGTATTTTTGGAGAATTTTTCGAGTTTACTTGTAGTGTCCTTGGATAATCCTTGGAGCATCCTCGGAGTTACCCTGTACTGTCTTTGGAGAGTCCCTGGAGTTATCTTGTCGTGCCCTTGGATAATCCTTGGAGTTTCCTTGTAGTGTCCTTGGAGTATCCTTGGAGGATTCTTGGAGCATCCTTGGAGTTTCCCTGGAGTGTCCTTGAAGCGTCCTTGGAGTGTCCTTGGGGGATCTGTGGAGTCATCCTTGGAGCGTCCTTGGAGTGTCCTTCGAGGATCCGTGGAGTGTCGTTAGAGTGGTCTCGGAGGATCCTTGGAGAATCCTTGGAGGTCCCGTCGTATCTTGGGGCCAATTTTGCTGCGAAAGCTTCGGCCGCTTTCGATAAATGGTGTGCCTTGGCCCACACGACGTCACCCATCGCTGGCTTCCATTGCACAGTGGTTCCGTCAGAGGCCAAAAATCAAAAAATTTGATGACATATTTTTTAAGCAAAATGTATCAAAATTGTCTCTTAAAAGTCCAAACTTCTCTTTGGCATACCGGATTTTACTAGAAATCTAACGGTACTTTCTAAAAATAGATTTGCAATCGTGAACACGTGTTCATTTTGGCAACGCAGCTGCGCTTTGGAAGTTATTTCTCTCTTTCAATTCGCCCTTTAAGGTGATCAGACGTACGCTGCAGTGCTCCGATTTGAATAATTTAACATGAATTATGAAATTGAAGGTATTTACTTTAAATTGAGATATTAATAATTAACTTTCCTGAAAAAGTTTTTTCGTAAAACTAATTTCATCGAATAACCCTTTTTTGTGTATTTTTTTAAAGTATATTTTATGTTTAGTTAGACTTTTAGTTATGTTCCAAGAAAACCCAGAACTTGGTTTGTATGTTTTTGTGATCGTCTTATTTTAGGTTACTAAATATTTTAAAATTAGCTGCCGAAATTTGCCGATGTGTGTTTTCTACTAATATTACTAAAGCAGTTAAAGGTGAGTCTTTGCTTATTGTGCTGTTGCGCTTTTGCGCAGTTGCTTTGTCTTCGTCTTTAGTGGTTTGTGTTTTTGCAAAAATATTAATTTGTAAATTATTATTTAAATTTTGATTTTGGATTTTGATAGGTGCATCGCAAAAATGTGTTTTTCCACGTCTGCATATTTTTAATATGTGGTGCACAGGTAATGGAACCAACGCCGAAAAAATGAGGAAATTGATTTCCGATGTGCAAGCGGATATTGAAAACAACGGCTACATTATTCCAGAGTTGAGCGAAATATCCAATAAAATTGAGAACCTCTGCAAAACAATTGTAACTTTTTGGAAAAATTACAAACGGACAAAATCTGCAGTTATTAAATATCAATCTGGATGGCTTAATACAAAAGAATCAATTTCAATAAAACGCCCCTATTGCAAATCAAATCAAATAGAGGAAAGTGCTCATCGGGGCCGTCCTAAACTTGAATTTGAGGAGGCTTCAGAGAGAACAAAGCTACGACGTGTAGGTCAGCTCATTAAAATAGATGAATCCGCTGTTTCTTCTCTACGTAATGATGATCGAAATCAAAATTTCCTGCCGGCAGATCCCATGGAAGTTATTTCGCTTTTAATGGAGACCTCCATGACGAAGCACCAATATTTGCTGATAAGAAACTTTGTAAATAGCAAAATATCCTTTGAATTTTTTCCCAGTTACCAAAGATTACTAAGTCTCAAAAAATAAGATACCCTGATGGTATTTATATAGACGAATCTCGTGCGGAAGTCGAACTACAAAGCTTACTAGACAATACGGCATCTAGTATAATAGAGCTTCAAAACAACATCATTGAAACTATGCCTGAAAATATAGTTACGAATTTAACTTTAATTGGAAAATGGGGCTTCGATGGAAGTACAGGGCATAGCGAGTATAAGCAAAAGTTTTCAAACGGTGATTTGGACGACAGAAGCTTATTTGTAACATCCTATGTACCTCTCCAACTGGTTACTCAAATAGATAACACAATAATTTGGAAAAACCCCCGGCCATCATCGACTCGTTACTGTCGACCAATAAGATTTCAATTTAAGAAAGAGACCGCGAAAGTGTCGAAAGACGAAGCAGAATATTTTGACGCAAAAATTAAACAATTAAAGCCAAAAGAATTAAGCGTCTCTAATAAAAAAGTTGTTATTACCCATAGCTTGCATCTTACAATGGTTGATGGAAAGGTGTGCAACGCAATCAGCGAATCATCCTCGGCAACGTGTTATATATGTGGAGCAAAGCCAACAGAAATGAACAATATACAAAAATGTTTGAGTAAAGAAGTTCGCCCAAGATTTTACGAATTTGGCTTATCTCCACTACATTCTTATATACGCTTCTTTGAATATTTTTTACATATTTCATATAAGCTAGAGGTCAAAATGTGGCAAGTACGCGATGAAGAAAAGAAGATGCAAGTATTGAACAGGAAGAAACACATTCAGGAGGAATTTCGCGAAAAAATGGGAATACTAGTGGACAAACCTAGAGATGGAGGTAGAGGATCTTCAAACGACGGAAATATCGCAAGGAAATTCTTTTGTAATGCAGATTTGAGCTCCGAAATAACAGGAATCGATGCATCTTTGATTCACAGATGTGCAACATTATTGCAAGCCATGGCATCGGGATTCAAAATTAATGTGGAGAAATTTGAAAATTACGCGCTGGATACAGCCAAATATCTTATAGCTGCATATCCATGGTACTATTTACCGGCTACCGTCCATAAGGTCTTAATTCATGGTTCAGCTGTAATAGAGTATGCATTAGTGTCGATAGGAGAGCTTTCAGAGGAAGCAGCAGAGTCCAATAACAAGGAACTAAAAAAATGTAGACTTCAACACATATATATATATATTATATTTTGTTTGTTGATTTTTATTTTAGTTTTTTAAGAATATGTATAACTACGAAAAATATCTTCCATACCAAAATCGTAATAAATTAGATTAAACAAATATGTTTTTATAATTCGGTATCGATTGTTCCTATGGGAGCTATAGGATATAGCCGATCGATAAGTCCGATTTTTGTTGCTATATGTTTAGACAAATTTGCTAAATTATTGTTATAAATTTCAGCACGTTATGACCATTATTAGTATTTTTGGCCGCTCTTCCATACAAGCGGATCCACTGTGCATTGCCTCCTCCTAAAGTTATAATGCCTAGCCTGGTCCTGGGAGGTTTTCTCCAGATTTCGCCTTACAATCTCGAAGATTTCCCTGAGTTTGTTGGCCTTCTCCTCCGGGGTCTCAGTCGGTCGTCCGGTCCCTAAGGTCTCTCTGTCGTACAGGGCGGTCGGAAATCTTGGTTTTCTGCCTTGGGTGAACAATGAACGACGGTGTGTAACATGTAGATTCCGAAACGCTCGTGTTTACTGCCAGCATGACTTAAGGCCATTTTTCGTCCCAGTTTTTTTGGTCCTGCCCTGCGAACTGCGCTATCATTGTCTTCACGGTCCTATTTTCTCGCTCCGTCGGGTTCTCTTGCGGGGTGTACGGATCTGTGAGCTGTTGCTTGGTATGCATCTCGGCAAGAAAACTTTTAAAGATTCTGCTGGCAAACTGTACTCCGTTGTCCGTTACGACTACTTTCGGAACCCCATACCTCGCGATTATGCGTTCCCTGAAAGATTTCTTAAGCGAGTTGCCTGTCGCGCTGCGCAGCGGCACTAACTCAGTCCACTTGGACAGCCGGTCTATCAGAACTAGCAGCATTTGGTGGCGTGCTTTGAACGCGGCAAGGGTCCAAAGATGTTCGCACATATCCTTGCCCAGTGTTCCTCCGGAACCTGCGTCAGCATTTTGCCAGCCGCCTGCATTTGATTCGGCTTGAATCTCATACATGTCTCGCATCCTCAAACGTGGGCTCGGGCGTCGCTGTGCATACCTGGCCAGTAGTATCGGGCTGCCAGATGTGCTATTGTCCTTCAGCTTCCTTCGTGGCCAGCTGCCGATGAGTCGTGGTTTTTCCTCAGCACCGTTTCCCGTAGAGCTTTCGGGACGCACATCTTCGACGCCGCGACATCCATCTATACTTCTGTATAGGGTGTCACCCTCCATCACGTAGTTCGTGGGTTCTTCTCTTTTCGCACATTTCCCAAATCCAGCTGCATGGCTGCCTTGACAAAGCGTCTGCCACAACGTTAAGCTGTCCTTTCCTGTACGCTATCACGAAGTCGTACTGCTGCAACCCCAGGGCCCATCTGGCCATCCTTCCTGAAGGGCTTTCTATGCTGTTGAGCCACTTCAGGGCCATATGGTCAGTTACTACTTTAAAGTGGCAACCTTCCAGATGTGGCCTGAGCTTTCGGATCGCCCAGACGATTGCAAAACACTTCTTCTCGGACGTTGAGTAGTTCTTCTCAGTGCCGTTAAGCATTCGGCTTGACTAGGAAAATACCTTTTTGCCTTTTGCCCCGATGCCGTAGTCGCTCGCGTCCGTTTGCAGGATGAATGGTTTGTCGAAATCCTGGCACGCCAGTACGGGGTCTGGTACGAGTCTTGCCTTTAACTCTCCGAATGCCGTCTGATGTTCCTGTGTCCACACCCACTTGTTGCCCTTGAGTACCAAATTGTTGAGTGGTTTGACTATTTTTACGAAGTCAGGTAAAAATAAGCGGTACCATGATGCTACGCCCAGGTACTGTCTGAGTTCTCTTACTGTGGATGGTGGTTCTAGTTCGGCGATGGCTCCTACCTTTTCCAGATCCGTGCCTTTTCCTTCGCTAGTCACTCGATGGCCAAGATATAATAGTTCTTTCTTAAGAAATTGTAATTTTTCCGGGTTTAGCCTCAGATTTGCTTCCTTTAGCCGCCGGAACACTTCTTTCAGATTCGCTTTATGTTCTAGCGTGCGTCCGATCACTATGATGTCATCCTGGTAGGCAAATGCGTGCGGTGACATTTCGGGACCGATTACACGGTCCAGCACCCGTTGAAAAGTCGCAGACGCCGAATGAAGTTCAAATAGCATTACTTTCCACTGGAATAAGCCTTTTCCCGGCACTGTAAAGGTCGTGTATTGCCTGCTGCTTTTTTTAAGTGGGATTTGCCAGTATTCATCCTTCCCGTGCAAGCTGCTGATGTACCGTGCTTCCCTCAGTTGGTCGAGAATATAATTTATTCGGGGCATTGGGTAGGCATCCTTTTTAGACTTGGCGTTGATTTGCCTGAAGTCGACGCACAGTCGCCCGTCTTCTTTTCAACCATCACGATGGGAGAGCTGTATGAGCTTTTTTAGTGCTCTATGTATCCCAATTGGAAAAGCTCGTCCACATTTACATTTACCTCCCCTTGAACTTTCGGATTCTTGGTGTAGTACCGCTGCTTGATTGGTTTGTCGTGATCTGATGCTCTGCCATGTTTGATGTTCCCGCTTTGGTGTTGAAGCTCCCTAGCTCTGCACCCAGGAATTTCGTCGTGTCGTAATCCTCGCTTGTCTGTTGCACGACTGCCACTGAGAGTTTCTCCTTGAGCCATCCATTGTGTCGATTCCTGGCTGGTAATTTTATTTCGTGTCCAGCACACTTTATCTCGGTTCCGACTTGTGTCAGAAAGTTCCATCCCAACACCAATGAATCCACTACCCCTGGAAGTATCAGCAGGCTCATGGTCAGTAGCTTGTTCCCGAATGCGATTTCCACCTCCAGCTGTGCATCGATTCCGCTGCCAACCTAACTTGCCGATTTATCCTCGTAAGGCCTCCTGGGGGTCTGTGATGAGTGTTGTTTCATGAGGCCTTTAAGTTGAGCTTGGTGGCCTCCACACAGTAGTTGTTGGCTACCTCTGTTGGTACTGTTGTGGTGCCCGCTGGCCTCCGTACGGCGTGTGGGTTGCCTGCCGCCGATCATTCCTTCGAGGTTCGTGGTCGCCGGTGTCCTCGCACCTTCTGGACGATTTCGTTCTAGAGAACTTGTTCTCCTGAGCAAAGGCTTCTCGCTCCTTCTCCAGTTCTTCGAATTCGTCGGCTAGGACCATCAGCGTGTCCAAGTCCGATATTTTGTAGGCTCTGACGGAGATTCGCAGGTTCAGCGTAAAGTTTTCTTTAATTATGTTGAGTGTTTCTTTTGTGAAATGTCCGAGTGATTTCATCAGCGTATGCATGTCGGTCTTATAATCCTTGAATGACTCGATTGAGCCGTGCTTTCGTTGCTTGACCTGAACCGTTAGTTTCGTAAAGAAATCTCTCGGTTTGAAGTATGCGTGTAAGTTTTCGATGAACACCGCCCACGTTTTGTACTGCTTGTTTTTGAGATGATTCACTTCAATGACCTCCCTTTGATTAATTCCGGCATCGTTCGGAGAATCATGTCTAGGTCCAGGCCTTTTGTGTTGGCGGACCACTCCACTTGTTCCAAAAACTGTTGAACGTCGATCCTGAACGACTGTTCGTATCCAGAGGTGCTCAACATGACCACATACTTTAGAATATTGCTTATTTCACTAATCATTACACTAAACTTCCGTGTTCCAAGTAGTATATAAGCATGTATCAAATGAAGAATAAATCAGTTATCAACGCATCTCATAACTCCGCGGTTCTACTTCCTAACTCTGCACAGAGAAAATATAATACCAAAACTGGTCATCAATCAGGTGTTTTTGCATATCAATTTTGATCCCTTATGTTGCCATATCATATTCATATGTTCGAACATATGAAATTGATATTTTCGAACATGCGCACATATCAAAGTTGTGACCAAATTGTGGTACTTTTTAATATCCAACTGATATGCTTTCGAATCAAACTGATATACTTTCATATCAGATTGATATGTTTGTAATATCAATATTAAACAGTTTTGATTTTACTTTTTTGCATCTTGTAAACAAATAAATATTGAAAACCCATAAGACATATTTATTTTTTATATATTTCGGATCAATTATAAATTATATAATTCCAGGACTTAGCAATAATAATAATAATAATAATAATAAATCGGTCATCACGCTGTACTTGGATGCCTCCTGACGCTTTACATCAGCGCCAGGAAGTCCTTCTTCTGTCCTTGATAGAAGCTTCCTCGCGAAGTGGTGGACACCAACTTGCCCAGTTCGGCATCTTGGCCAGCCATATGAATTTGTGTAGTGCAGTGTGTGTAGTCAGCCACCGAAGCGCACGTTAAAGTGTCCAAGAAATAAGTATATTAGAATTAGACCAACATCAAGTACAATTAAAAATGAAATACTTACCATTTGCAAAAAAAAATAAACAATATATGTAAATGTTTCACATTGTACACTTTCACTTTTCGTCAAATGTTAGAGTGACTGCGGCAATTTAGCCAAAAAATATCTTTAGTACCATACTAAATACCATAAATACACAAAAAATACGAAAGCACAGTCATACTTATTTTTCGAAGACTTTTCGATGTTACGTTTGATATGAAAAACATATCAAATTAATACGAATTTATATTAATATGATGCAAAATCATATCGATTAGACATGTTGATATGAATTTGTATCATGCTGATATGAATTCGTATCAATTTGATATGTAAGAGGTGATATGTGAAAATTGAGGAGACAATATCAAACGGGTAATTTTCCGTTTTTTTCTCTGTGTGAGAATAGGGCTTGTAATACACTATCTCCACTAGCAGCTAACCTACGTTTGCTCAACCTCAGCGCAGTTCCGCATCGCCTGTGGTCCGGCCTCGCAGTAACCATCGTTAACATTGCCGTGACGCGATCGTCCTGCCAGCAAAGCGTTCCCGTGCCAGCGAAAAGTGCTCAATACCCCCTTGTCCGGCGGTTTGGCCCAGAATTGTCTACTTCGGTTAGGCACAAAGATTGGTGACTCCGACGTGATCCTTACCTACAAGGGTTCACACTCCAGCAACCCCCTTCCCACCAAAAGCTGAACCTCTGACTGGTGAGAAGACCCGTTAAGTTCACTACATCCACCCGCCCTGGAAACCATAGCTCATCTAGCTTCACAGGATACTCAGCTTAATCCAGCTTCACAGGATACTCAGCTTCATCCAGCTTCACAGGAATCACAGCTTCATCCAGCTTCACAGGATACTCAGCGTCTTCCGGCTTCACAGGATCGTAAGCTTCATCCAGCTTCACAGGATACCGAGCTTCATCCAGCTTCACGGGATACTCAGCTTCATCCAGCTTCACAGGATACGCAGCTTCATCCAGCTTCACAGGACAAACAGCTTTATCTGGCTTCACAGAATTCTTTGTTTCCAGGACACACACTACGTCTACTTTATCCATAGAGGAAAAAAGTCACACAAGAATCGATTTACACAATCGATTACTGGACAACCAAAATGAGGTACAAGTACAGATCCAACAGCTCATAAAGGATTATAACAAGGTAAGCTAAATCAGCTAAACGATCTCTGGCAGCAGTTTTGCGACCTAGATGAAGAAGTCCAACAAGCGGTATTACCCACTGGAAGTGAGTACTCTTCACGACTAGTAGCACATAAGGAGCTGGTCGAAAAATATCAGAAAATCTTTCTGGACAACGTGCCGACTGGAAGCGGACTTCCGAAGGCCCCCAGACGAACATCGGCCAACTTCAAGATCACAACAGGAGATCAAGTCAAAGAAGACTCCGCAATTGACAGGGTGATCCGACAGTTGCAGAAAATATGCAACGAATTGGAATCATCATTAACATTAGCCTCGAACGCCCCAACCGTCACCCCAGCCCTACAAAGGCACCTGGATCTCCATTGGGCGTTACTGAGGCAAGCCGACGACGAATTGGATAGCACACCTGGGGCCGCAGCTCTGGCAGAAGAGGAGCTAGCCCAATTCGCGACGCGATCGTCCTGTCCTATCTAGTGTCCCCATGCCAGCGACAAGTGCTCATTACCCCCTTATCCCGCGGTGTGACCCAGAAGTGCCCAGAAGTGCCCGGTTAGGCACAAACAACGACCATTCGCCGACTTGCTTAGCGACCTTTGCATAGTCTGGATGGCTGGGCCCAGCGATTGGTGCTGTTGTTTTCCTTTTTTACCCCCTCGGCGTTTGTCAGCGTAATGCTTGGGCCTGTTTTCTCGGCGTATGCTGCCTCAAGCTCGGTCCTGATACCGACTAGTTTCGGGTCGCTCTCCGACTCAGAATAATATTCTGTCAATGCCTCCCTCTTATCTTCCGATCTGCACTCCAGAGCGGCATAGGCAAAGTCCTCTGTCTTGAGGCGGTAAGACCACTTCTTCCCCATTCTGCTTTAAATTGGGACAATCACGATTTAGGCACCAGATGTGACGAACCGATTTTGTATGCCTGCTCGCTAGCTCAGTAGATTGTGTGTGTTTGTCGCACCAAATTTATATAAAGGTGACCGCCCAGTAGCTCAGTGAGAGAGCACAGAATTCACGGGTTCGTTATGGGTTTATTGCGGGTATAATGTCACAGCGGCTTGGTGGCTTGGCTGCCCTTGATATCGCCTCTCGTGGCCTTCGGTATCTCCGACGGCTCCTGGTCGCCTCGATGATTTCTCGTCTCGTTAGCTAGGTGCTCCGGTCCTGTTGCTCACTGAAGATTTTTGAAGCTTCCTGGAGATGCTCGGCGCTGCTTGTCTCTGATGCGTTGAATCGACGACTGCTTATTACGTCTTAGAGTCGCGGGAGGGTCAGCCGTGCGGGCTTAGGGAAGCGTCACCGTTCTCAGACTAGGAGGAACAGATGCTGCGCTCTACAGGGTTACACCTTTAGACCAGTGGTCGGCACACACATATCATCACAAATTTGCCTTGCATTAGTGTGAGTGTAACAAACACGAAGTTTGCGCGCGGCGTGCTGAAGCGAGACGTTTCTCTGCTTTGCACTGAGATCCTCTGCCGCAGCAAGGATCGCTTCACTTCGCTTCTACGCCGAGTGTAAACGAACGTTCCACGCTAGCCTCACCCTTTTGCTTGTTGCCCGCGACGTTTCCGCGTGGCTTGATCTGTATTGCGTAGCTGGCTTGCTGCTGACGATGTCGTGCGCACTGCAACTTGATGTGCTTCCTGCTCGGCTGGGCGTAGCGTGACTTCTGACCATCGGGGTTTCGGTCAAACGCCGACTTCACGAGTCGAAACCATAGGGTTCTCCTGGACTACTTCTCTTGAGACCACAAACGATCGACCGCTCTCCCTTTTCGCTCATAACACTCGGGGTTTCAAACACACACCGTTTCGGGACTTTACGAGTCAAAACCGTAGGGCTCTCCTGGACTACTCCACTCGACACCGCACACGGTCGACCGCTCTCTCTTTCTGGCTGATCGCGCCAGGATCTGCTCCATATCCACGTGACGTACTGGGCTAACGCCGGGCCACGCCAAAGTAGAGCTTGGCGCGAGGTACACTGGGTTTAGACACGATTCTCCCCAAGCTCACGGTTTCTTGTCGTAGGCCTCCACTGCTCAGACTCTGATCGACTCCCCAGGCGTAATGCGAGGATTTAGTTATGACAGGAATAAGCAGGTCGCCTGGAATTGTCGCAAGTTGGAGATTCCTGGCGTCCCAATCCCAAACGTCTCGACGTAGCGATCTTGCTCCTTGTAGGCTCCCACGGCGCTGCTTCCGACGACTCGACCTGTTGTGGCTCGCTTGTAAATAGTTCACATGGTTGACTGACTTTTCACTTTGATATCTTGACGGATCGACTCCTCGTGATCAACTGATGATCCAGCTGCCAGCGACCTGCGGCTTTATATAGGGACTCCGGGAATCGTTATTGCCGTCTCCACTCCGGGTCCAAAGTCCGTGGTTCCTGCTTGACCCACTTGTCCTTTGCGCACAGCTTCAAACTGGAGTTATGCCTATTGCTGCCGTCTGGTTCCCATTATTCATGAGGCAAGCCTGAGTGCCGCTCCGCTGCCGAGATGTGGCACTCCCTCTACTGGTCCAAAGTCCTCGGCAGAGTCTAAGGTCCGGTGGAGTTCCGTTATTTCCTTTTGCACACGGCACTCTCGCTCTGCCCGTAAAGTCTCCACTCTCTCATTCTCCACACCTTTGTCTCCAAGCTGTCCTATTCTCCAACCTTGGTCTCCAAACTCTCTTCGCCGCGCCGTTACTACGCGAATTCGCCGCGTATCTGGTAAGCGGCCGGCCGTGTGTTGTTACGGCTGTTGGAATTTGTGGGGAGTTATTCAACTTCTCACATCGGTAATAATAGGATATTTTATGTATACTATAATAAGATCTTGGCGTAAAGCGATTTTAAATTCGGATACATCCAATAGGGCAGTTATAATTATGGGTTTTAGTTCATGCTTATAAATTTCTTGTATGTCTTCATTGTTTAGAGTTTTAGTGTTCAATTTTTGCAAGTGTTACTGTGTCCATTAAATTCATAAGACCGTAAGTAAGCAAACGCACACGATATTTTCTAAGTGAAATTTCTTGATCTTTCAAGGCTGTTTTACATTTTTCAGATAAAGATTTTATTTCTTTGAATATTTTAGAATTAAAAGCGAACTGATTGTTATTATTTTGTACTAAATCATCGATTTTATTTTGGATCATCATGGTTTGTATAATCCATAATTTTTGATTTGGTTGTGCCTACCAGCAATAATAAGTACATTATTGAAATCATTACTCGGAATTTGAGACAAATTATTTAATATTATCTTTATGAATCGAACGGTTTCTGTTATTTATAATACATTTTTGGGAAGACTTTCCTTAACTACTTGTTTTTTATATATAGAATTAAGATTGTTTCTTTCTCCGTGTTTCTTCTCGTAGATTACCTCTCCTACGTTTTAATTCTTATCTTGTCTATCTTAAATGTAAAAATGTAACATT